TTTTCTTTCTCCCCTACCCTGATAATAGTCTTTTAGTGCTAGAAAATTATTCTGGGTTTAATCTACTCTAAATCATTTTGACCACACAGGAATTCTTAAAAGGCTCATAAGCATTAACAGTGAGCTACAGCACCCCCTGGCATATTCAGCACTCCTCCTCTTTAACCTTCACTCTGAGGGGAATGTTTGAGGGGAATGCCTTCCAGGAGGTGATCAAAGTCGGTTCTTATGCCATCCGCAGTCACTGTAGGTGAAGTTCCAGTCTCCAAAAGTATAGGATAAGGAATGAATCCGAAGCACTTCTTAGCCTGGGGGAAGGATGGGTAACATTCCAAATCCTAGTTCTGTTGGATTTTGGAATGGGCTTGAAGACCGTTTCTCACCTCTCAGCTCTGGGTCTGCCTCTTTGCTCCTGGATCTGAAGCTTGACTGAGGGGACCCAGAGAGGGAAGTGGACAGGTGGCTGAGGTTCTTGATTAGTCACCTTGACAAGATGTACAGTCATTCCCATCTACAGTCAGCTCTCTCCGTTACCCATTCTTTTGGGTGGACCATTTGCACATAATTGAGAGTTGTCTTTGAAAAGTATTACCAGTGTTTTTCAATCCCAAGAATTGTTCTCCCTTTTGGCTGTCATAGTTTATGCTAGGCTGCCACAGTGCACAGTCCTGAGCCCCAGCCATAGGCAGGACATAAAGCTTCAGGGAACAAGCTCAGGCTCTTTGCTGCTGGGGATCCCAGAAAAGAAATTGTCTGACATTTTTAGGTTGAGACAGTAATGACTCTGGCTCAGAGTCAAAGTCATTCTTTCTTTTCCCCAGCTTTTAACTGAGGACACAACACTGGGCAAGGCATGCAGGAGTGTGTACTAAAATACAGTTTTGCTCCACTTGACTCTCCCCAGTTTCTGACACTGAAGAGCAGCCCATTGCTATTTAGATGCCTCCCGTACCTTCTCCACATAGAGTTCCCAAGTTGAATCTGCAGGAGTCTACTCCTGTCCGCCTGCCTTCCCCACAGTACTGAGTGACAGGGCAGAATCAGGTCCAAGTTTTTCTCAAGTTCACTATTCTCCTATCGGTATCTGTGCCCTTCAGAAACATGACTTCAACAATCTGTATCTCTGGCATCAGTTCAGCACTTTATACCAGACAACGGCTTCCTTTGCCCTTCCTGAGGGAGGGAGCCTGGGCTGTTAACTTTTTCCCATTTTATATAACAGAAAACAAGGCCCAAAGAGAGGGTGTGACTTGCCTGAGATCACGCAAGTGAGAAGTTGAGTTGCAACTAGAGCCCAGATCTCCCCAAGTATTCTCTCCCATTGGCCACCAGCCTGCCTGAGTGTGAGCAAAAAAGGACAGCATGTGGTGGCCCTGGCTACACTGGTTGAAGAGTGAGATCTCAAAGTAGGGATAAATCTGGACTGAGCCCAGAGATGCTCCCATGTGGAACGAGATACAGGGTGGTGGTAGTGTATGTGTGTGTGGTTGTATTTGGTGAGGTTATTGAATGTCCTAGACACTGCCCAGGGGACCCATAGCCAAGAGCATAGCCTCTTGGGTACAGGCTTAGGGTCTTTGCAGCCCATGCCTGCTCAGCCAGCAGATGAATTCAGAACCTTTGTTTTTCTTAGTGCTGCTGGACCCAGGGACCTACATTTCCCTTGAACTTGAGAAACTCAGGCCCAGGTTGTCCAGTGTGCTAAGGCCCTGCCTTAGAGGGGCCACTTTGTAGGGAGGCCACATTCTCTGTTCATTCATTGCTCTCACTCCTGTGGGCACTCCTCACTCCTACTTCTGTAACTCCTACTCATATCCTCCCATGGCAGGGCTGACTTTGCAAGTCTCCTTTTTGCATCTTTCCCAAGCCACCAGGTTTGAGTCTAATACATGAGCACAGAGGATGTTGGTGACACATCTTGCCCCAACCTCTCCAGAGCCCTGCTCAACAACCCTACCCTATGATCTGAGAGCGCTTGCCTGCCACTGGTGGGTCTGGGGGACACTGGGCTTTTTGGCCAAAGAGCCAACTCTCTGTCATCCACACCCACAGGGCCCAGAGAACCCCAAAGCTGTCACCATCCCCAAGTCATTTCTCAATCGTTTGGGGTTGTATTCTGTGGCCCGCACAGAGTGCAGTTATCTTGTTCCCCTTCACCTAATACCAGTCATAGTTTGTTCACATCCACTGACTATGATGGGAGCAGAAGGGGTGATGGGGGATGCAGACCGGTTTCTTTCTTTAGATAAGGGATTGGGCTTGTAGACTACTCATGTCAGGAGGGAGGGGACTCAATGGGGACAGTTCTGAGGCCAGTGAGGGTGGTCAAGGGGCAGGAATCGGGTGTAGGGCAGGTGCTGGGTCTGGATTGGTATGAGAGCCTCAGGGACCTGGGGGATTGAGGGTAGGGCTGGGGGTCTAACCTGGTGAGTGTGGCTCAGCGGGGCGGCTGAGGTGTCTAAGTTCAATGTAGAAGTCCTCGGGCGGGTATCTGGCCTCCAGGGCACTGATCTGGAAATGGGAGTCTAGTGAGAGGAATGACAGGGAGGAGCCATTATTCCCAGGGCCCTGGTACGGCAGGGGAGGAGGACATGAGGGTCAGGGTGGGACAGGCTGGAAGGAATTAGGGCCTCTCTATAGTGTCCAAAGGGGTTTGGGGCCAGCAGGGCCAGGGGGATTTGCTAGAGCTGAGGCCACCTGCCCTGCTTCCCCTCATTCCCCACCCCCACCCCTATAGGAACTGGTGCCCACAAGGCATTGGGGCAGAGAGAAGGAACCCTTGAAAGGGGCACCTTGGTAGGGCCTGGGTCAGGCAGGGATCCCATTCCCAGATGGTGAGTACATCTTTTGCCTCTTTCTGCAATCCCCACGTCGGCCCCTAGCTGTCTCCCTTGTGGTCCCTGAGTCATAGCCATCCTCTCCCTATCGTCTCTATAGGAATAAAGGGGGTCCTGGGCCTCATTTGCTTATGAGAGCTGAAATGGGACTTGGGCTTCCTCCCCAGACCCCTTCTCCCTGTGGGAAACCATGCTCAGGATTCATCTACTAACCCTCTTGTTTGGAGCTGGGACAGGGCCCCTCTCAACGTGGAAGGAGAACAGGGTGGGACATGATGGCAGGGGACCAGACTCAAACCACTACTGACCTAACACGTTCACATAGCTGTAGGGGGTCCAGCCTGCTGTGTCTCTGTCAAGGGACTTGTTACTGAGCTGTTTGGAGAGTTAGGAGAGCCAGTTAATACCACCTAATACCGAGGTGCCCCTGCCCAGCCTTCACTGCCTTGTTCTCCCACCCCTGTGACGATCCTGACTCACTTAGGTCCTAGGTTGTTGAGGGAAAGGGACAGCTAGGTGTTCAGGACAGGCCACCATGGGGTGGCTGAGGCCAGTGGGAGCAAAACATACCCCTGTCTAAGCTGTCTGACTGAAGTTGTAGGGTTCCCAGGCCCCTGGGGCAGAGCCTCCTGAGAGCCAAGAAGTGGCCTGAGCCAAGCTGGCCCTGACAGGGAAAACAGGTCAGCTGGTGGGGCTAAGCTCCAGGAGAGGGGGTTCTGGTTGTGTCTCAGCTGCACAGCCATCTCCAGTAGGGAGGGAGGTGCTGAGGCTGTCTGCAACATCACTGTCACCTCTGCCACCTGGCCTGAGCTGAGTGTGAATCTTACTTTTGTGTGACCAAGGGGAAGCTTCAGGATAGGGTGTCCCTATCTATCCTCCTGCATTCTCACAGCCTTCATAAGAGGCAAGGATGGTTGTCCTCATTTCACAGCTAGGGACCTGAGTCCTGCCTGTGGGCCTTCAGTGGCAAAGCTGGGTCTAGAACTCAGGTCTCAGCATTCAGACCCATGTCCTTTCCATGTCATCACAGCTGCTTGCCTCTGCTACACATGCCCTATCTCCCAGGCTGAGGGGTCCTTGGGTTAAGTGAGCCAGAGGGTGACCAAGTGGGCAGCTCTGCAGTAACTCTGACCCTTAACGAAAGAGGGTGAGACCAAGAATGACATGGCCACAGGGGGCCTTTGCCTCTCCTCCTTGTCATCCTTTGCCTCTAACCTGCTGCAGCCTTGATAATGTGGTTCTAGTTAATCAAGGGCCTACTGGGAAGATCCTTTCCCTCAGCCTCCAGCTCCTCAGACAAGCCTAAAGCTGAAGATGGGAATGAGGGTCTGAACTGAGGAGATATACAGAAAGAGTGGCTAAAGCTACAGGGGTGCTGTCTACGGGGCTGATGGGCACAGACTTTGCATATGGGCCTCAAGGCATCCTGTATGCAGCACTCCCGTTTCATAGGAAATCTGAGGCTGAAAGCCCCTGAAGAGAACAATCAGGGGGGCTATGTTTCATATATATGAAACAACAGTGGTTGCCCTTGGGGCTGTATAGTGTGTTATTATTGTTAGGGGGTTCGGGCTACGCTGCCACCAGGTCTGTGGCAGCAGGCATGGTCTGTGGGCTGGTGGACATTGTCCGTGGGGCAGATGGAGAAAGGATTACCAGAGCTCTAGGGCAGAGGCCTGGAGGATGAAAACTGCTCCTATCCATGTTCCTCACTCAGGATGGATATTACATCCCTAATGGTCCTGCTATATTGTGTGTGTGTGTGCATGCATGCATGCACGCGCACATACTTAGGTAGGTGTCAGGAGGTGTGCAGCATGAACTTGTCAGACCTTGTGGTCCTTGAGGCTGTTCTTCATTTCTGAACCTCTCACTCTGCCCAGTATGGGTCCTGGCACTCTACACATGTGTTCTGAGACAACCTTGCCCAAGGGCCTGTAAGAGGACATCTTGCCATTAGCCAGGGTTATGCTGTGAAGGAAGGCTCACAGGACTCACTATCAACAAGAACCCTGGCTATGGATGATGTGTGGGTTCCATGTCCCTTGTGTTGGTTCTGGGGTTTTTTTGTTTTTGTTTTTGTTTTTGAGGAAGATTAGCCCTGAGCTAACTACTGCCAATCCTCCTCTTTTTGCTTAGGAAGACTGGCCCTGAGCTAACATCTGTGCCCATCTTCCTCTACTTTATATGTGGGACGCCTACCACAGCATGGCTTTTTGCCAAGCGGTGCCATGTCTGCACCCAGGATCCGAACCGGTGAACCCCGGGCCGGCCCCGTTGGTTCTGATTGTAACAGATACTTGTGAGTATGTATTGATGACGTGGTATGTCCAGATACAAAGATATCAGGTGGTTACCTAAGTTAATAGTGGTTACTCTATAATACGCTGGTTGTACTCATGGTGTTGGCAATGTACTGCAGTGCTTGGTGGTAGGTGGTGTAGTGTTTTGATTACATGTTAATAACATGGCAAAAGTGGCTACATGGTGTGCATGATTATGTGTGACAAGGATACACGGGATTATGACTTGGTACCAGTTGGTTACACACAGGGTGTGGGGGTATATGTTATATTAAGTGATGCTGAGGTTGGTTACCAGCATTTGTTGGCTCAATGTAATCTGCTGGCTCCCAGTTACCTGGTTTACCAAGTGTTTACACGTCCCATGGATCACAGGGCTGCATTTAATGCATTGGTAGTTGGTTCCACACGCACCCTCCAGGTGGGGGGGTGCAGTTCCTTCTTGGGCAGAGGTGAGGGCTGAATGGGAGGACAGTGGATGGGGGCTGGGGAGTCAGGGGCCCGGTACCTTGGTGGGGCTGTTCCTGTCCAGAGTGCTGGCCTGGCTGGTGGCAGGCCCCCCGCACGCCAGTGCGTGGTAGCTGGAATTGGAAAAGCACTGGGCATGGCTGCTACTTTGAGATAAATCTGGGAAGAGAACAAGGTGCCACATACCATCAAACTCCTGCTCCTGGCATGAGACTCCCCAATACTAACGTTTGGGCTGGGCAGTCTTGAGAGTGCTCTGCAGAGGGACAGCCAAGTCCCCCATCCCCCAAGCTTCCTGGCATCCACAGCCCCCACAGAAATCTGCAGAGCCTGCTTTGCCCTTCCATCTCAGTGGCCCTCCCTCAGGATACAGGTTGCCAGTGTGGAGGGTGGCACCAGCAGCTGGAGCATGGATGAGGAGTGTTGGCTTTGACAGCCTCAGATGTCCCTGTGCTGACTCTCCTTTGCCTCCCCTCAGGGGCAGATCCCAGTAGTGAGGCTATAAAGCGAACCCCACACCTCTTGGCCCCAGTCCTGCCCTCCTGTGGATTCTAGGATTTGTTCTCCACAAAGTTGGGGGAATTCCAGTGGAATGACATGGAAAAACATGGCCCAGCTTGCTCATTATAGTCATAGAAGAAAATCCCCAAATCTTCTCTGTGGACTTGAGATTTCATCAGCAGATATCTTTGGCTGAAACCCAGCAGGGCATGCGGGCCAGGAACTCTGAAGGCGGGGTCTGCCCCTGGGCCACCTCTGTCTATCTTGTAGCACTCAGCATGGAGCTGGGCACACAGTAGGCAACACTTAGTTGGGAGTGGGCTGACATGATCTTGGTTTTTAAGCACAAGGAGCAGGAGGCTGCAGGTCAGCCATGAGCTATGGAGCCAGCTGGAGAGAGCTGTCATCCTGGTGCTCAGACAGACCCAGCCTCTTGTGGCCCAGGGCTATGGGCAGTTTCAGAGCATTTTGGCCTCTTGTGTTTAAATATGAAGCAAAAAGCCTTTCTTATTCCTAAGGCAGCAGTCCAGGGTTCAAGGGAGAGGAAAGATCCAGCCCAACAGCCCTACCCCACTGCAGTCAGACTTACAGATAGAATGCTCACAGGAGTTGTTAGCACATTTCTGACAGACTGGGTTCCAGCAGGCTGGGCCAGAGGGACATTGCCCAAACTTTCAGACTCCCCCAAGTCAAGTACCATCCCCTTCCACTGTACCTATAGGGCCCTTCTAATCTGGGAAGTGGGAGGGAGGGTTGCTCTGAGGCCTTCATGAAGGAAGCAATAATGGAACGGGGCCTGGACACTGGGCTTCAAGGCCAGTTTCCTGAGGTGGCACAGGCATCAGGCTGGGAAAAGGTTCCCCTGGCGAGTTTAGGACAGTTCTGCTTAGTGTGAGTGCTCCTATGGCCGACGCCTGGTGAGAAGGCTGGGAAGCTGTGGGGAAGTGGAGGACGCTCCTAATCCTAGGCACCCAGAGCTGGGGGCCCAGGAAACAACACCCCTGTGGAAGCCCATCTACCTTTCCCAAGTAGGCTTCTGCTCCCCACCCCCACTGTCTCTCTAGCAGAGTCTTGAGCATCCAGCCCCAGTTACCAACTCTGCATGACCACCCACCTTCAACAATAGCCCCGGCTGTCCCCAAGGATACTGTGTGGCTCTGCCTGTGTTGTGTGTGTGTGGAGGGGGAGAAGGGGGATGCTGGGGGCAGAGCCCTTACCTGAGAGGGAGTAGTCAGTGCTGGTCATCCTCATGGCAGGTGTGTAGGAGACTCGGGGAGCCAGGTCACGGCCCTTCTCTTTCTGCCGCCTGCGGCGCCAGGCGAACAGGCCCAGAAGCACCACAATGAGGAACAACAGGAGGACGATGCCTGTGATAGCACCCACCGAGTGCCGCTCTACACCCAGTGCTGGGCTGATCTTGGTGTAGGGATTCAGCTCCTCCATCATAAGGGCAGCTGCAGGTGGAGGGAAGGCCTGAGCCTGGAGCAGGCCTGCTTCTCTTCAGATCTCCTCGGCCCGGGGCCTAGAAGCCTCTATCATTAGGAGCCTGGGTTCTGGTTTTGGCCCTATCCTTCAATCCCTGTGTGATCCCAACCCTCACTGTGCCTGTTTCTTCAACTGCCTGAAGGGGACGGAGTCCCGGAGTCATGACCAGAACAAATGCAATCGTGGATGGGAAACAAAATGATAACGAATGTTCATTGAGTATTTTACCCTATTCTAAAAATGCAGTACAGATATTAACTCGTTTGATCTTCCCAGCAGCCCTATGAAATAGGAATTATGTAATTATTTCCCTTTCACAGATGACGAAACTGAGTCACCAAAAGTTTAGGTAACTTGCCCAAGATCACACAACCAGTAATTGGTAGTCAGGTCTCTCAAAGTGTCTGAAAAAGACTGGACTCAGCCTCTGTCTCTCTTACCAGCTGTGTAACTCAGTCCTCAGTTTGCTCATTTGTAATCTGGGGACAGTAATCCCACCCTCCCCAGGAGACTGTGAGCACCATATGGCAAGGAAAGCTGTGAGCACTGTGCCAGTGTGCCCAGAATTACTGCCCACAAAACTCCTCTCGATGATATATGTGTGAGCCAACCCCCTCCGAGCTGATGCTCAGCCCAGGGGGACATCCTGCTGGTCTGGCAGCTTCTAGGCCCCTCCTGGGCTGTGAGCAGTGGGCTGAACAGAGCCAGCCAACATCACCAGGGAAGTAAATGTGCTGCATGATCCTGCTCAATGACATATCGTCAGAATGCAATGGAAATGTCTTTTGGCCCCTTTTCTGTAATATGGATAATTGAGAGCACACACTGATCCTCCATCTCCTACAACCACCACCAATATAATACCTTACACATGTGTGCAGCACTTTACAAAGGGTTTTTATGCATACAAAACCCTTTATCAAGGTCTCACTTATGTGCCGGGCAGTGTGCTGAGTCCTTTACTCACATTATGTCAACTTGGTTCTCAGAACTGCACTATGGGGTGTTGTCTGACTGTAGAGCTGGGGCCAAGGTTGAGCCCCTTTGGGGTCCTTGGCCCTCAGCACAACCTTGTGATGTGGTGGAAGACAAGGATTAATCTTCTCTTTCCACTTTGCATGTGGATTAACAGGCCCAGCAAAAGGAAATGACCTGCCCAAGGATACCTAGCAGGTAATGGCAGAACCAGGATTTGGCAGATCTTCTGTCCGGTGGTCTATCCACAGCACTAGCTTGTGCTTACCCTCGCTTGGCTCACAGGAAGCTTGCCAAGATGAGCATGGGGAAGCCGTGACCGAGAGGCTGCCTGCTCCATCTGCCTCTCCAGCGCCTGGAGCCTCGACCTCTGTAGCCCACCCCACTCCCACTCTGCCCCCAAACGTGCATAAAGGAAAGTCACAAAGCATCCTTATAAAATCCAGTTGTCCCTGTTGGAATCTTCCCTGGAGCCCGCCTCCATGGGGCCCTTTCTACAGCCCCCTGCCCCGGGGCTCTGCCACCTATTACCTTGGTCACACCTGATTCCTTTGAATCCAGAGCTGCAATAACAGGTGCCGGTGACGTGGTCACAGGTGGCATTGTTCATGCACTCACATAGCTGCTGACACCCATAGCCAAAGGTTCCTGGGGCACATCCTGTGCAGCACGAAGAGTTGGGGTAGACAGTGAGATGCACCCGCTCTCCACCCCTCGCCCCCATATGTGGACAGCTGTGAGAGCCAGTTCGGTCTCCCTGAATGAATCCTATTTCCCTGTAGCTCCTGAGGTGTGTTGGTTTGATACCTGGGGTAGAGAGAGCACCTACCCCTGCTTTGTCCTTACTTGACGCATATTTACACAGCATCCTCTGTGTGCCAGGCCCTGAGCTGGGTGCCATAAGGGCTTCAAAGAAGAATCAAACAAGATCTGCCTCCCTCTTTACTCCCTCAGGCCTCTGCTCTACCTCAGCATCCCCCATTGCCACCCCAACTGGAAGAAGAAACTCTTCAAACACCAATGTCCTTGGGAGTTGCTCCAAAAGTCAAGGGAGCAGGGGGTGCAGAGCCCTGAATGGGTGGGCCTTGAAATGGGGGGAGGCTTTCCCTGCAGGAGGCTGAGGCCTGGCACTGACACCTAGGGTCAGGGGTTGGGACAGCTTACTCTGCTCGCAGTGTCGCCCCGTGAAGCCAGTGCGGCAGGTACACTTGCCGCTGATGTGGTCACAGCTGGCGCCATTCTGACACTGGCACACGCGCCCACAGTCCTTCCCATAAAACGCTGCTGGGCAGCCTGGAGAAACAGGGTGGGGGCAACTGCAGAGGTGCAGCTGGGACCAAACCTGTCTTCTGCTGCCTCTTTGGGCATCGGGTGAGGACTAGCAAGACTGCAGCTGAGCCATCTCCCCGCTCTGACCACTCATGCTGAGGGGGTTGGTGTTGGCGGGGCAGTCCTTTGGACAAAGCTGCCCTGGAACCAGAGGCTGGGCTGGTGTCTCCTTACTGTGCAATCAAAGCTCACTCTTCCCCACTCTGGGCCTCACTAGCTAAGGAAGAGTCTGGTCTTGATT